TTTATATTTAAGAATTAAGAAAACCAGGAACAGTACTTGAAGTTTATTTATAATATTTAAACAAGAGGCATGAGAATTAATGTTTCTTTCTCTCCTTGTTGACTATTAACTCCAAATATAATAAAAACCTGATAAATTATAAAAAAAAAGGGGAAGAAAGAAAACGTGGAAAACCCCCTACCTCTGAAAAGGAATTGAAATAGAATAAAAATTGCTTTGATATGCTAAGAAAGTTTCCAGAAAATGTTAGTAGTTTAAGCATTATGCATAAAGTTACAAGGAACCAATATAAGGCAGAAAAAAAAAGGAAATTAGTTTTTCTTAGCCCATACCTGATAACAGCAATTCCATATTGCTGTTTGTAAGGGTTGCATTTACTCTTCCTGAAGTTGCATTGAAACTGGTTACTGTCAAAGTCATGGGCTGTTTCTTGCTTTTGTAATTGTAAGATCCCTTCCATATATAATTTTGGGCAAATACATCATCAGGAACTATACAGACACAAACATGTTTCATTACATATTGCAATATTTACTACTTATGAAGTCAAACATCCCACAAAAAGTATGTTAAATATTAGCATTTTCTTTCTTTTACTCTTTCTGTTTTAAAGTCTACTAGGCAATTTTCACATATAAAGCATAGAAACTTGACATGAACATTTATGAAAGAAATACATTTGAATTGGTGAATACAACTATACCTTCATTTGCTTCTTTCCTCAAATATGGACCTGTCCTAAAATAAAACCAGCTCCACAAAATCAAACGGCTTTGACCACAAAATCATACTCCTCTCACTGTAGAATCTGTTCTATGCCAGCACAGGGTCAGCTGGAGACATGCAACTAGCATTTAATTTTTCAGAAATTAATATCAATTTAGATATCAGAATTTTCAGAAGCATGTTTAAATGACACTAAATTATTATAAGCATTTTCTTTATTACCTAGCCACTTTTTTCTAATAAAAAAATGATATAAGTTATTTTGTCTTCTCTTCAAATGCTCAAAAATACTATGAGCTTCATCAGAAGGAAAAAATACACTCTCTAATTTAAAACTGAAAACAGATCATAGTGTCCAGGGGAATAACTTCTAGTTATACCTCTATATTTAATATTAATCATTAGCAACCTGCAAAATGATTAAATTAAGTAGTGTTATTCTGGCAAATAAAAAAAACCACCAAAACAACAAAAAGATACCTATCCAGTGAAAACAGTTGCATGCTAATCTTTAAAACCTTAACACAGGACACCATTTAAACAATTAATTTGAAGGTGGTTTAGGATGGGTTTACTACACTTTCCAAAGGAATGTATCAAACTTAGCCCTATAACAAAAAATCATTTAAAATCAGCACTGTCACATTATTTGGAGTAACTCACACTGAACTTACAGCTCTGGGTTTGTGTTTGCATTGGCACCTCATGTCAAAGAGAATATTTGAGCCTTTCCCTCAGAATATTCCAAAATTCAAGATAGGGACACACTGGAATACCCAACAGTTTTCCTTTACCATTTATTTTATGCATCATAAAGAAAGGTTGTCTTCCCCAGATCTTTGTTAGGTTTTTTATCTGTGCATGTATATGTTTATATGTATATTTTTTTGACAAAACATCTAGATACTGGACCTGCAAACTGCAAGCAAGGAAATTGCATGGTGCAAATGGTTGTATAATGTTGATTTGTGATCTGGCCAAAATTGATCTCCCTAAGTTTGGAAAAACTGATCTTTATGTACTCTATCTGCAGCTAATTGAATTACAGAAAATGAATGAAAATTTTTGGAATGAAAAAATGATGACTGCCATGCAGCAGTACATCATTGAAAAACACAGTTTTGTTGTAATGTGCAAAATATAGTAATAATTTTTTTAAAAATGCCCCCCCCCCAACATGCTAAGAAACTACGCTTACATCTTATTCACTGTTGATACAAATTCAACAGGTTTATAGTCAAAGGCTAATTTTAGTTACGGAGACTGCTCTCTTAAAAAAAAATCTCTTCAGTGGACAGAGAAAGGTTTCTCTAATCTGGACAACCAAATACCTTCTAATTCATCAAATCAGTTAAAACTGGAGACTTTAGCCATAGTTAGAGAGATTACCTTCTCCCATCTAAAATTAGCTTTTTTTAAGGCGAAGTTGAAGGCTAATGCTAAGTATTTAGGTAAAGAATTTAAATTAGCAATACGGAGAAGAACTGTCAGACTGTGAAAAAAACTGTGAAACATCTTTAAATAACTTCTGGGTGAGCAGTATAGTTTCTGAGTAGGTAAATTGCATAGGATATTACACAGAACATAGTGATTTCAGTGAAAGCAATAAAACTCTCATCATGTAATAGAAATTGTATATAGATACAAATTGTACCATACAATCTAGATGGGTTTAAACATTGGGGAATAATTTAATTCTTTTTCTTGTTAATCTAGTGCCCAACATAACACCCTTTATTCATTCTAAGACACAGTGCAATATCAGTAAACTGATCCTTGTTGTCTTTTCTACAGAAATTGTTTAGTATTAGATATATCTTGGAGTACTTACCACTTAGTTTAGGACTTGGTGTTCCTAAAGCTGGTCTGGGATCCTTCACTAATATTTTGGAACCAGCTGTTAGAAAGAATGAATGGCATAAAGACATATCAGTAGCAAATATGTTACTCAGCAACAAATAAAATAATTTCCAGAATGGAATTTATTTGTATTTGTTACAAAGCATATGATGTGATGTTTCAAACCCAAATATGAATGAGATTTCAGGCAGTATCAAGCCTTATTACCACAAGAGCACTTGCCCACAGATTTCTTGTCGCATTTCCTCCTAAGTCAGTCACCTGGATCAAGTCATTTGCAGTAGTAAAATAGTGCAGGGTTTCACTTTCCATGTTTCCAAATTAACATTCTTGGACTATACACCTAATATGTGAGATGCCTTCTAAATATGTCATCTAGTGCTGGCTGTGTCACTTAGATCAGGGACTGTGAACAGAACTTTGACTGGAAGCAATGTAAGACCAAATGGTGAAGACACACATGACTAGGCTGCTTTAAATTATGTTGCTTTCTGGGACTTAATTATCTTCAACAGTATTGAGTGATACATCTTGTGTTCAAGACTGAAAACCCATTGACTCAATCTCTTAATATTGGAGGAGAAGGTCACTGTTTCTTTAAAGAATAACAACAGAAAGAAGGAAACAAAGGCTGTCCACAGTATCTCCAACTGCTCAGGTGCTATGAGAACTGGAAGTTGAAGAATTTAATTTCTTCTCTGCTTAGAGCAGGAACTCTCCCACCACTGATGATGATGATGAACAGAAATGCAATAAGACAGTGTAATTTCCTGTAGATAAAGCTACTTTATTTTGCAGAAACTAAATGGGATTCACTGGAACATAAGGAAGACACATAATTCTGTCTCATAATTGACAATATGCTCATGCAGCACTAGGCTCCATTCCTTGCTCCAATGTATTTTGTATTTTGGGTCTTGGCTTTGAACCCAGGCCTTTTCTCTCTGATCCATGTTCTCAAAAATTAGACAAGTAAGAAACTTCCTTCTCCATGAGTGGAGTATTTTTCTGCATAAAAAGGAAACTTTAGCAAGGTCTGAGAATATTTCTCTTGAGGATAAATTATGGCTTTCCCAAAAGGCCTTTTCTGTCTGCATAGATGTTAAAACTGTCTGTCTCTACATATGTTAAAACTGAAAAAAACCAAGGGCAGGGGTTGAAATTCAGCCTAAAGTTCTCATGGACTGTTACTACTGTCTCTATTTCCTGTCAGTTTTGAAAGAAACTTGCTGAATTTCACTGTACATGGTTGACCTGGAGGGCATGATTCCTTATGGTATACTAATTTAAGGTCAAGTTAGAAATATCTGGATCATATTTTCAAATTGGGCTTTAGCATCAAAAGATGATGAGTTAATTAACCTTGTCAAGATGAAATAATTTCTAGTCAAAATCAGAACTGAAATTTAAAATACCAAATAAAATTGAAATACAAATTTTTTACCATACAAATAAAAACCTAAAAATAGTTATCTATAAAGTTTAAGTTTCTACGCTGTACTGGTTTGGGCTGGAGTTAACTTTCTTCATAGTGGCTAGTATGGAGCTATGCTTAGGATTTTTGCAGAACACAGAGTTGATAATGTAGAGATATTTTTACTATTGCTGAGCAGAGCTTACACAGAGCCAAGACCTTTGCTGTTTTCCGTACTGCCACACGGGCAAGGAAGTTGGGGCTGCATAGGAGACTGGGAGGAGACACAGCTGGGACAGGTGACCCAAACTGACCAAAGGGATATTCCATACCACATGACATCATGCTCAGTATATAAGATGGGAGGAAGAAGGAGAAAGGGAGGCATCTGGAGTTTGTCTTCCCAAGGAATCATTACGTGCGACGGTGCCCTGTTGGAGATGGATGGCTGAAAACCTCCTGCCCATGGGAAGCAGTGAATGAATTCCTTGGTTTACTTTGCTTGTGTGTGCAGCTTTTGCTTTATTAAACTGTCTTTATCTCTACTCATGAGTTTTTCTAGCTTTTACCCTTCTGATTCTCTCCCCCGTCCCATTGGTGGGGGAGTGAGTGAGTGGCTGCATGGTTCTTGGCAGCTGGCTGGGGTTAAATCTCAACATAGGTCCAGATATTTTCTGAGTAGGACTTTGAAGATTTCAATTTTGTATTTAAAGGATCAAATCCTGGTTTAATGCCCCTACATACACTTTTAGAGCTCTCAGCTCCAGATGTTTTGTTCCTTTCCATCCATTTCCAAGTTATTGTTGTGAAGCTCAAAATAAGAGGTGAACAACCTGATTTGGTGCTATTCTCCATTCCATAGGAGAGAGATTTCACCTCTCTGTATAGGCAAAACTGAAACTATTTAAGAGATATTTTAGTTTCTCTAATTAGATCATTACTTTGCAATATGTTGCTTATTCTTAGCTTCTTCCACTGCTAAAAATCAAGAAGAAAGACCTCTGATCCTAACATTTTTAATTTCTGTAAGATTTTTTCAGGACATTGTGAAAGCAAATTATACGACAATGTAGATACAGTCATACTTACTACTTAATACTTTAAAAAAATTCTCAAAAATTTTTCTTCCTATCAGATAGGACAACTAATGCTACTTCTTTCCATATCATCAGCAGAAAATTCTTGGATCAAAATACAACCCATGAATCACATTTGGCCTGCCATAACATCTTCCAAGTACTGAACAAGTCATAAGCTTTCCGGCTGCTAGCTTTCTAACACTTTTCCAATGCTCTGCTCTATTTTCCACCAGCACTTGCCTGGCATACAATGCCAGGACACCTGGTTTTTAGTAATACAAAATTTTCATTTTCTATTTCCCTTCCAAGTAGCAATGTTTGGCTATAGAGCCTTTGAATGCCTTTGTAAGACCCCTGGGGAAAACCACATCTGAAACATTAGGTAACAGTAATCTGTAAAGTCCTTTAATTATTTAGGAAATAGAATTCCAAACAGTTCCTACACTTGAGAATGTTTCTTATCTCACATGAAAACCACTTTTCTCACCATGACTTGGCTATGATGTTTTTCATATTCTGCCATGACAAAGCAGGCATTAAAAATTAGAAACAAAAGGTTGGAACATCAAGGACAAAGGAGATACATTTTTGTTTTCAAGTAGCATACAGTTCCTTATATAAAAGTATAAAAGAATACTGAACTCTATGGATTAATTTCACACAAGATTCAGATACCTTCTTGGACTTTAGGCATCCTTCTCAAATATTAGTATAGAATCATAGAATAATTTAGGTTGGAAAAGACCTCAAAGATCATCAAGTCCAATCATTAACATAACACTACCAAGTCCACCATTACACTATGTCTCTAAGTGCCCCATCTACATACCTTTTTAATACCTCCAGGGATGGTGACTCCACCACTTCCCTCAGCAGCCTGTTCTAATGCTTGATAGGCCTTCCCTGAAGAATATTTTCCTAGTATCCAACCTAAATCTCCACTAGTGCAACTTTAGGCATCTTATCGCTTGTTACATTGGAGGAGAGACCAACACCCACCTTGCTATAATCCCTTTCCAGGTGGTTGTATTAAGCAATAAGGTCTCCCCTGAACCTCCTTTTCTCCAGGCTAAAGATCCCCAGCTCCTTCAACCTTTCTTCATAACACTTGTTCTCCAGGCCCTTTACCAACTTTGTTGCTCTTCACTGGACACAGTCTAGTGCCTTAATATCTTTCTTGCAGTGAGAAGCCCAAAACTGCATACACTATTCAAGGTGTGGCCTCACCAGTACCAGGTACTGAGTGACCACCAAGGAGATTTGGTTAGTCCAGCAGGACCTGCCTCTCATGAAACCATTCTGACTGGGCCAATCAACTTGCTGGCCTGCACTCAGGATGATCATACCATAACCTTCCCTAGCATCAAGGCCAGATTGACAGGCCTGTAGTTTCCTGGATCCTCCTTCCAGACTTTTATGCTTATGAACATCACATTTGCTAACTTCCAGTCAACTGGGACCTCCCAAGTTAGCTAGGATGGCCGGTAAAAGATTGAAAGTGATTTTGTGAGTTCGCCTCTTCACCCAGGTCTGGTGGTTTGTAACAGATTCCCACCATGACATCTGCCTTGTTGGCTTTTCTTCTGCTTCTTACCCATCAACACCTTACCCATCATCATGATCATCGAACCCTAGGCCATCAAAACACTTCCTAACATACAGCGGTACCCCACTGCCTCTTGTTCCTTGCCCATCCTTTCTGAAGAGTTTATAGTCATCCATTGCTGCACTCTAGTTATGTGACTCATCCCACCGTATTTCCATGATTGCAACTATATAATAGTAGTATTGTGACTGTGATACCTGTCTTGTAGGTGACAAAACTTATGTAAATAATATTATCCTGATCTGAGTTTAGTAGGTGTGTACAAAAACATTGAGATTCTTACTCCACTGAGTTTATGAAAATGTAGTCCACACCTAACTCAGACAGAAGTCTAAAAGCACATGTTACTCATTTATTTGGCCTCCAGAATTATATCTAGAATTGACACTCCTGTACATGCAAATGAAAGCAGAAGAAAGCATATGTCCCATTATAACAAACTGGCAAACGATTAGACTTATCCTCTTACATGTCCTCCCTCCTAGTACTCCTTGCCATTCTGCCTTAACTTACTAGACTGTAAGTAAAGAAAATTACTGAAATATGATAGATGACAGATGCAATGGGAAATAGAAGAGATTACCTTCACAAACTGGAACTTTCCCAGTCCATGTGCCATCAGATCTGCAGGCTCTGTGCTCTGATCCTCCTGCCAGGAAGAAGCCTGGCTGACAAGTGTAAATCAATGTATAACCAAGTGAGGGAAGATCCATTCCTGCAACATTAGCATGACTTGGTGTCTCTGGCTGTTTACAGCTGTGAGCTGCAAAAAAAGATAAAATATCCTTCAGTCAAAATGGTGTAAATATTTCTGAAAAAATAAACTGTTCCTGTTCTGATAGTTAAAAAACAAAGTTAAAAAATTAATGAATATAACATTAAAAATCACTATATAGTCTTTAAAGTACCTTCCTGAGCCTGTAAATAGACTCTTAAACATGGATATTTCAGTTTCAGGCTACCAGGAACCAACTTAAATTCACTTGCATGAACAAAAATAATTGCATACATATGAGAACAGAAACAGCACACACCACACTAGACTTAAAAGCTATCATGGCTTGTGACTTACATGCCTTATGATATCTGAATACCATGGAATAACAGTAAAAAAATGGGTCAGTTGGATAACACTATGAAAGGTCAAGGAGAAATTGAAGGTAAGTTTTAAATATCAGGCAGAAAAATTGATTACCATTTCTAATCTTATGTAAAGTCCATTAAATATTTAAAGACCACCAGAATCTGTGAGTTATGTGTTATCTCAAAGACAGCATAACTCCAAGAGCTGAATTCACCTTTCAACACACTGAGCTACTGACTTGCTGTTTGCTTAAGATTAACGCTAGCAACAACTAAAATAATAGTAATGTTGTTTTCTTCTGTGGATATGCTCTCCATTCACTGAAGTGATTCTATAATGTCAAACCTTATAAGGTGACTATTTCTACAAAAATACAGCTGACTAGCTGAACTAGAAAGATTAACCACTAAGTTATATTTTCAATAAATTTTCACTACCAAAGTGTAAAAGATCTATGAAATTAAGTGCTACTTTCTATACTCAAGGAAGATGATTCTCTTTATTTCAGATTCAAAAATTTCCAACTACAAATCTTTTTTTCCCTCTCTCTTAAAATACCATGATTCATCAGTTGGGAAACAGCTCAAACCCTTTACTAGAACTGATTTTAATAATATGCTTGCCTACATACTGCAGAATAGGGCTTTCCAATATACCCTGTTCTCACCACCTCCTCTCTGCATTGGACGGGTTGCACCCTCTTAGGTAGAAACTGACTATGGGTGAAGAGCTGTCTATTTTCTTTCTCTTTCATTTTTGTTTTAACCTCTGGAGTCTATTGTAGAAAAGGATTCACTCAGAAAATCATATTTCTTGCTGCTCTAAGCTAGTAATGCAAATTTCTATTAACTTTCACTTAATGAAAACCATATAGATTAAATTACCTTTATAACGATACTACTGCAACTGAATAGTCTAGACTGAAAAAAAATAGATAGACCAAAAACCTTTCATTACTTACGTATACATTCTGGCTGTATTCCACTCCAGGTAAGGTCAGGAAGGCAAGTTCGTGTTGTTGAACCATGGAGGAGGTGTCCTTTTTTACACTGAAATTGAACAACATTTCCCACCTGTTGAAAAGTAGAAAGCACAATAATATTGTTATGAGGAACTATCAGTTGGGATTTTTTTCCCAAATTTGATAGGTCCTTCACATAATACAGACTTGATAAATTGTTATTCTGTTTCTGTAGAAAGTAAATTAATTTTGCAGAACATTTTTTATATGAAATAAAAAAAATTGCTTCACTCTCAGGAAAATTACTGTCGGCACAAATTGATATCCTTCATGGAAGAAAATCGAAACTTCATCTTCTATGATCTCTCTGATTGGTTGTTTTGGGCCTGGAACACCTGAAGCACTGGATCAAAGAGGAGACAGTTAGGCAAAACAGGGAAGTCACAGAGCTGAAATGGGTATTAGATTCTGCTGGACTTTTGCTGAACTACAGCCTTCTTTGTGAAGTGCTAGATATATTCACAAATTGTAATGAGAAATATTTTATTCGAACAGACAGGTCTGGTCAACAACATTGTCTCATGCTTCAGAAACCATAATGTTCTTGTAATATTTTAATTTTGGTTCTTTTATGACGGGAGGTAAAAAATAACCACTCTTTATGCCACACAGATAATAGAAACTGGAACACAAGTACATTACAATTTACAATAGCAATCCATCTGAGATTAGTTTTTAATTGTTATTCCTATTATGGGTATGTGTTGCATAAAAAGGAAAATAGAATACTTTACAACAGTTTCTGCATACAAAGAAAATGGAATAACCTGTTCAGCATGTCCAGTCATGGTGAAATTAATGAAAATGCAAATAGTTCTTAGATTCTGTCAAAAGCAAGGAAATTAGATTACAAGTAGAGAGAGAGAGATCACATTCAGAGAATAGTTTGCTACATACTGAGAGTGGTTAACTCAAATATTAAGGTGCATAGATTGTATCTACTGTTCTGTAGTGACCTGTATAAATATATTTATCAACTCATGTTTAAACAAGAAATTGAAAACTTTAAACTCTCTGTGCCAGCACATTTATGGCTCTAGTTTGGGTTTGATTTTTTCATTATTTTGTTTAAATGGCTAACACTTGAGTCAGACTGATGCTCAAAGGTGAAATGTGGATTACTTCACTATAGTTTAGTACTGACAAACGGCATTTCACTGCTACAGGTATTCATTTGAAACTTTACAGTACTATTCTATTTCAGCTCAAGCTTCTCATCAGAATTAAATTTAATAATAACCCATGAATTACAGATAGTAGCTCATCAACACAGAGTGTGATTTAAAATTCATCTCCCTGGTTTTTTTATTCTTTTCTGTGCTCACTGGACTGTATAATTACTTTTAAAAGATTTTGAAGAAAATACACTAAATCACTTGCATGATTAAACACAAAGTAGTAAAATACTACAAGTTTTAGAAGTTACACCAAATAGATATAGAAGCAATTTTTTTTTTGCTGCTTTTTTTGTTGTGGTAAAAAGCATAGTTAAAACAATCACCACCAATATGTTACTTTACAACAAGTAATAGCTTTAAAAAGATGTGTTCATGTGATTACATCAGTGGACAAGAGAAGGGTTACAGATGTCATTTATCTGGACTTCTGTAAAACCTCTGACATAGTCCCCCACAACCTTCTCTCTAAATTGGAGAGAGATGGATTCAATGGGTGGACTGTAAGATGGATAAGAAGTGGTTGGACCATCACAATCAGAGGGTGATGGTCAACAACTCAGAGTCCCAATGGACTTCACTGACAAGTGGTGTCCCTCAGGGGTCTGTCTTGGGACCCATGTTTTTTAATATCTTCATTGATGATGTAGAGTGCACCCTCAACAAATTTGCTGATGTTCTTCAAGAACAGCCTGAATAGAACCTTCGTACTTTATGGACAGAATTTTACAGCACTTTCAACTCACAAAGTCTTTAAATTATTAGAACTCAATGGGTAACAGTGAAAAAGGAGGGAGCCTTTTCAATTTTTTTGTAACTCTCTTTAGCTCCCTATTCATGACTTTGGACTAGCTTTTCTGATCTGAGTCATCTGCTGGACAGATATATTGGAAGAAAACTGTTCACCTAAAGAGCAGAACCAATAAATGCATACAATTTTTTTCCACTGTCTGTCCATGTTCACTTATGGCTTCACTGACAATTGGCTGCCTAAACATCAAAGCAGTTCATTACTACTACAGATATATCAGTGAGATAAGGAATGGCTTAAGTTGCAATATAAGTGGAAAGGTTGAGTTGCTAGCATTCCACAATTAAAAAAAAAAACCAAACCAACACAAAATCAACTTTCTTTGTTGACAAAGACAGACATGAAAAAAAAACCAAAACAAAACTGCCCCAAAACCAAACACTAAAATCCCCATTGCTGATATTGCAAACAGTTGTTATAATACCAACTTTTCTATCCAAAATACTAGTGAAATTATTTTCCTCATTTCCTCCTGTATTATCCTTGTTAGAGAAACATACATTTTTATGTGCAAATCCTAAAAGTAGCATAAAAAATACAACAGTTTCCCAAGGGATGAAGATGTTTTACAGGTGCTGACATGTTATTAATGATAATGCAAAAATGAGAAAAATGTTCCAACCAATATGTAAGAATTAATATATTATATTAATTATCTAGTATAAAAATCATAATTGTTAAATAAGTGTAAAGAAATTTAAAATTTTAAATAATAAATAAGTTTTACAATTATGTTTCGTAAACACTATTTTTCAATATTCTTGAGCCAAAGGCACCAGGTGGCGCTACAATACTGGAGT